GGGCGTTTCACTTTGACTCACCCTTGAGATCACAGGGCTCCACCACTGAGTCCATTTTGCAGGAGGGCTCTTAGATGTGAGCCTTTCTATGCCTGGAAATATGATCTCCAGTCTTTTAACTATCAGTCCAGCCCAGCTGTGTGTGGTCCACTTGGATTGCACTCTTTTTCCTTCTAGACATTTTGCCTTTGTTATTGCACTGGTTGCTGCTGGAAGAGCATCTGAAGCTGCCCTATTCTTCCCGTGGGCTTCTTCTTCTTCGTCTTCGTCTCCATCTCCGTTTCCGTCTCTGTCTCCTTCTCCTTCTATTTCTCCTTCTTTTATGTCTTGGGTATGTATATACTTCTAAGTTTAATGGATTAGCCAGAATGTCTGCTATTATAGAAGTTTCCCAATCAATGGTGTTTTCAAAGCATATGAATGTCTGTGCACCACATGCTGTGACCATAGAGCCAGAAGAGGGCATTGGATCTCCTAGGACTGTAGTCACATATAGTTGTGAACCACCATGTGGGTGCTGGAATTGAATCTGGGTCCTCTGGAAGTGTAACCAGTGCCCTTAACCACAGAGCCATATTTCCAGCCTGTTTTCAAATGTTATACTCCTAGCTAGACCCATCAATAGCCATGTAACTTCAGAGAGATTATGTTTGCCAATGAGCTTTTGTTTCTAGAATCAGCAAGTAGTAGTGATATTTGTCTTAATCACTACACAGAGCCAGCAAGGCAATAAAGAAACAGGCTTGAAGTCATCTAGCAAGTTGTGCAATATAAGATGTCATTATTCAGGTGCCAGGTGGTGTGAAGTCAGGGTGTTCAGGGCTCCACTCCTCCAATTCCGTTGTAGCCAACTCCAGATCCTTGAAGGGTTGGCTCAGCTTGTCAGTTATCTAGAAGCCTCAATTCCCCTTTTTTTCCAGAATGTAAACTCCCTGAAAGGTGTAATTGACTTCAATCCAATTAACCCAAGAGAACATGGTAGTAGGAGCCTGAGTTGAACAAACCTGAGCCTCAGCTTAAGAGACCATGAGGATTCCAGAGGTTTGAACCACCCTTGCCAAACCTTCTCCTTGTACTGTACCCTGGCAATGACCCACAGAAGCTGTGATGTGCTTATTGAACACACAGGTACAGGTTCTCCAGGCAGTGCATTTCAAGATGGCTTCCTGAATCCCGTTACTTTTCCCGGTTACTGTAAGAGAATACTGACCTCGTCTTCCTCTCTACTGCCAGCTCCCAAATAATGACTTATTATGATTATGGAAGCTCGGCCTTAGCTTAGGCTTGTCCCACTAGCTCTTATAACTTAAACTAGCCCGTATGTATGTATGTATGTATGTATGTATAATCTACATTCTACCATGTAGCTCATGTCACTAATTTCTGACACTTTTAGTCTGTAGACTCATTTATAAGTACAGGGGCCAGGGGTGAGAGAGAGGTGACACTGAGTCCCACGAAGGTAGAAGTGTGGTGGCACCGTGACTGTTTTCCCCATCTTCTCTGCTGTTGTAGAAGGTTTTAGCCATCTTGCCTGTGCTTTTGGGAGCATGGGAGATGGGCAGGGGTCCACCTCCCTAGCTCTGGTACCCTGCACCTCTCCACTTCAGCAAGGGCCCATCGTGGTCTGCTCAGAGGCTCAGTCATGTCAGCTCTAGGGGTTTTTACCTCTGTCTCATTTGCACTTACGAGAAACACAGGACAGTGTTCTAGGCTAGGGGCCACTAGATGCTGGACAGGAGGTGGGACATTTGTTCACATCAACCGTCCTGGTTGTCCTTATTGTTTGTTCCTTTTTCTCCCTTGTTTGATGCCCAGGACACTAGGACAAGAGTTTGGCCACCATAGCTGAGATGCCTATTAAATTAAGTTGTAGTTATTGCCTATTAAATTGTCTATTAATTAAATGCAATTGAGAAAGAGAAGGAAGCACAAGTCTGGGGCGCCACCTAGGGGAGGAGGTATCTCTGTGCTTACAGCTAGTCTAAAATAACATCACTCTGACACTTGGTTTATGAAAATCTAAAAGTTCACACACACACACACACACACACACACACACACACACACATGCGCACACGCAGAATGAAAGCAAATGAATAGCCATTCATGTCCTAAGAATTTTTTCTTCTTCACAGGGCATTCTGGCTGTCAACATGGTTTACAAACCTTTTCCCCATGGAGGAGAAGACAGTGGCACTTGTATGAAACACCAAAATCAATCCCTGCCCCTTCCCGGAAGCAACACACATGCATTAGACAGCCTCCATGTCATCTACATCTTTCTTTAACACAAGGAAATGAACCCAAGGAGTGTCCCTGCAAGGAGAGCTGATCTTCATTCCTCGTTCATCTAGGACGGGGCTGATCAAGTTCCACCTAAGGCCAGAGGTTCTCACATCAAAATCTCAGACCCTGCTAGGGCAACTCACCTAGACCAGTGACCTTCCCTAAACCCTAAACCTCTTTTTCCCCCCTGAGCTTGGTGGCCTGGACTCTCCTCTCTACCAGTTCCATCCTATTGATTCACCAGGGACTTTCCAGGCTTTACCTCAACATGTGCCTATAATCTGAAACTGCTCACCACCCCAGTGCAGTTCCCAGATACATGTCAGAACAACACCCAGTCCCAGATTCTTGCAATAGCATCATTGCTGGCCTCTCTGCTCACATCTCTGCCTCGCGTTGGTGGACTTCAGCGGAGTAACCCCCAGATGTGAGATGCCGTTTCCCCTCTCCTGGAGAGCTTGCAGTGGCTCCCCCATCTTCTAAAGAAAAGCTCAAGCCCAGTGAGTTCCAAGGCTCTGCATGGCATGTACCCAGGGAGCCTGACTGGCTCCATTTGCCCAGCTCACTGCTCTACACACTTGCCTCCTCTCTTCCCTAAGCTGGATGTGCGCTGGCTGTTGTCTGCTCTTTTCCTTGATGCTTGCACAGGCATCTCTTACTTTTTTCAAGTGTCTGCTCAACAGTCACCACCCTGAGAGAAGTACACTCAACATGGACACATGGAGTGTGTTTTCTCAGTTCTCTGGAGCTGAGGTAGTCACCGAAACATACTTTGGCTTAATTAAAAGTAGGATAGCTTTTTGTCCTGGTTTGCCTGGGATCATGCATTTTACACCTGTTACCCAAGTGTAATTAAGTGTTGCTTCCACAGTTCAGAGGTGATATGGTTTGGATTATAAATTCTAGGATTGTCCCATAGGCAACCTCTGACACACTTGGCTTTCTCCCCAGCTCTTGTCAACAGTATGCTAAAGGTTCACTGCTCCCAATCACCTCATTGCTTTCTGCTGATTTGCAGAGCCAGGAAACAAACACCTCTGAACTTTCTCTCAGTCCCCCACTGACCTTTCTTCTAAACTGTACAGGCACATATGGGCATGAGTGGGCAGACACACAAACACGTACTTCTGTGATACTCTGTGCAGATAGAGGATAAACTATGTAAGGGCAGCTCCTTGACTACTGAAAGTCTGTCTTCTCTTTATCTGGGATATAGTCTCATGTAGTACAAGCTAGCTTTGAACTTGATCTATATAGCCAAGGGTAACCTGAAACACCAGATTCTCAATCCTGTGGCCTCCATTTCCAAGTGCTAGGATATTAGAAGTATGCATGACCATGCCTGGAACTAACTCTCTTGCTCTCTCTCTCTCCCTCCCTCCCCTCTCCTCCCTCTCTTTTTCTCCCTCCAACCCCCTCTCCCCAAGAAGAATTTATTGTCATTTAATTAACTTTCCTGTGTGGTTTCAAGTCAATGGGCCACAGCTCTCCTGCTGCCTGGAGGGCTCTCCCTTGCCCAGAGTGATGCAGTAGCTGGATGGCACCATATCAGTGACAGGAGTGCTTTCAGTCTTCTTTGTGGCAGCATTTAACACAATGTGACTGTTCCTGACCCATGTCCGCAATCTATCAGCTGCAATAGGGCAGATGTGCCATTTCCTTTAAGTGGTAATGCCTACCAGCTCTCCAAAGCCACCTGGATGACGCTTGTCTAAGCTCACCCTCTGGTGACACACGTTACTAGTATTACCCCAGCCTCCAGCTTGCTTCTGGTGTGTAGCTATGCACCCATGGCTGTGGTTTCAATGTGGGTCCTAAGTTTCTGAATCTTCCTAAATCTGGATGGCATGATGGTGCCAAAGGAAAGAAACTGGATGTTGTAGAATATTACTTTAACTAGACAAAGTTGTGCTACATTTGTTTATGCTGTGGAATAGTACTTTAACTGTAAAGGTGTGTTATATTTGTTTATGCTGTGGAATATTACTTTAACTGTGTAAAGGTGTTACATTTGTTTATGCTGTATTTGTTTAATGATGTAAAGATGTGTTCCTGTTTAGCCTTGCACCTGATTGCTCTAATAAAAACCTGAATGGCCAATGGTGAGGCAGATGAGGAATAGGTGGGGTTGTGGGCAGAGAGAATAAGTAGAAGGAGGAATCCTAAGCTCAGAAAGAAGGAAGGAAAAAGAGAGGGAGACTTCTGGGGTCAGACAGACAGACATGGAGTAGGACATACAGAATGAAAGAAAGGTAAAAAGCACAGAGGCAAACATAGCTGAAAAGAAACAGGTTAATTTAAGTTCTATGAGCTAGCAAGAAACGAGCCTAAGTTAAAGCCAAGCACTCAGCTAATAGTAAGTCTCTGTGTCATGGTTTGGGAGTTGGTTGGCAACCCAACCACACATAAAATAATACATTTTTTAAATGGACAGTTTCAGCTGTACAAGATGAAAGAGTTCTGAAGATGGGTAGTGATGCTCTTGGCACAACATTGTGAGTGTCCTCAATGCTACTGAACTGCACACTTAAGAATGGGTAAAAATGAGACATTTTGTGTAATTAAGAAAACACAACAAGAAAAGATTAGCTGAAGTTAAGGCAACATTTATTTAGCTTGTAATTGTATCATATAAGGCACACAGTGGTAGTTATGGATAAAGACACCATTTCTTTTAAGGCTTTCAATGGTTGGGTTTTTATTCCAACACATCATGTTAGGCAGATATGAAGTGGACAGAACCTAATGTATTTTGCCTTTGTATTTGCATTTGGTCAAATGCAATCACTGTCACAGTAGTACTGCCCTGAAGGTCACCAGGTCACCTGTTCTGTGGCCTGGCCAAGTAAAGGTGGTCACTGTGCTTGTGATCTCTTCAGGCTGTGTTCTGAATGATCAGGGCAATGCCTTGACCACCTCCGATGCAAGCCGACCCTACTGCGTACTTTCCACCTCGGCGCCTGGGAAAGAATGAAAAACTGTTATGGGGCCAATAAAATGGCTCAGCAGGTAAAGGGGCTTTCCACCAAGCCTAATGACTCATGCTCAATCTCTAGAACCCACGTGGTGGAAGAGACCATTTCCCTGTAAGATGTCTTCTGACCTCCACACACATGCTGTGGAATGTGCATACTCTTACTATATGTACACACACACACACACACACACACACACACACACACACACAAATTAATTAAATAGTATTAATATTCATTCTTAACCAGCTCCTCTTCCAAGGCCATTCCTCAACCCTTGATTTTGGTCTATGGTCATAATAGATTAAAAAAATTCAGAAAGCAGAATATTCTTGCCAAAAAAAAAAAAAAAAAACAACAACAACAACAAAAAGTACCACACAAGAGGGAGACAGTGGATGAAGGGGGACAGATGGGCTTAGGCAGGCTGAGGAGAAGCAGCAATTGCAAGGGTCATTTACGTAAGTGGGAGTGATAAAGAGGGGGCAACAACTCTGAGCACGATTTCAGATTCCTGTGTCACTGCAGAGTAAATGCAACTGATATAGTTTGTCTACTGAAGGGGCGGGTCATTTAGAAAGGGATCATGTCCTAGTCATAAAAGAATCTGTTTTCATTCCTCAGTCCTGATCTGTGACCTTAGGAAATTACCCAAGCACTATTTTTCATGTCACTAGGTGACAGGAGTCCTCCCTGTCAATCACTGATTGCCATCTCATGCATCACTAGATGACAGAGGTCCTCCCTGTCAATCACTGATTGCCATCTCATGCATCACTAGATGACAGGATTTCTCCCAGCTTCTACCTAACAGGCTGAAGTGAGCTTGCAGCCTCATAGAGTCAAAACATTTTCAACTCTCCTAACAGAACTGAATGGCCCCAAATACATAAAGCCAAGAGTTTTCCTACCCAAACCGGAGAATATCAAACACCCAGGACATAGGTAAAAATGTAGGTTGCAGAGATTGCCTGTTTGCTCAAGTTTTTGACAGTGGCTTCTAGATCTTTACCTTCTCAACATTTTGACTTATTAAGTAAGTTTATCTTGCTACAGCTGTAGACACTAAAATGCAGTCATAGAAGCAGGGCCTCGCTGTTGGTCACCAGCACCAAGGGGGCCTGACATGCCTGGGTCCCTCAGTGAGCATTGAGTGCTTGTATAGTGCACACAGCAAACTCCAGAAAGAGCTTGTAGGGCCACTAACAAACTGACTAGTGCTTCTGCAATGCCCAGTGCAGTGTCTCCTAAACAACTTGTTTAGGATATGAAGAAGGAAAAACATAATTGTGTTGAGAAAACCTAAACTCATGTGCTTCTATTTTTTTTTTTTTTAAAAAAAAGCCATATTTGGGGTCTAGAGAGATGGCTCAGTGGTTAAGAGCACTGGCTGCTCTTCCAGAGAACCTGGGTTCAATTCCCAGCACCCACATGGCAGCTCTCAACCATCTGTAACTCCAGGCCCAGGTGATCCAAACCCCTCTTCTAAACTCTTCGGTACCAAGCTCACACATGGTACACAAATGCAGGTAAAATACTCATACACAGAAAGTGATTAGAGAGATAAATCTTCAAAAAGAATGGGACAACTAGCAAGTACCTTAATTCGTGAACCAAGTGTGCAGTGATTCTCGATCCAGAGCCTCCCAGTGGGTGACCCAGGGCAATGGCACCTCCATTCACATTGCTTTTACTGGGGTCAAGATCCAAGCTCTTCTGAACAGCCAAGTACTGGGAAGCGAAAGCTTCATTCACCTTAGAAGAGTTAAAGTGCACAGAATCATTACTCACAGGCTAGTTTTTAACAAGACGTTCCAATTCTGTTGACAGCCATTTCCTATATCTTCTTATTTCAATTAGCTCACAATGTTATTTGAATTTATCTTTAATCACTTCATGTCAAGACTGTAGATCCTCAGGGGTGTGTGTGTGTGTGTGTGCGAGTGTGAGCTCACAAGGGTATCTTTCATTATTATTTGTTAACATAATCATGTTTAAGGTTATTTAGAATTAATTTCCTCTACAAATAGGTTTAAAAGCAGGCATAGAGCTGGGTGCAGTGGCACAGACCTCTAATTATAGCTAATTGGGAGGTAGAGATGGGAGGATTCCAAGTTAGAGGCCAGCCTGGGCATAGGCAAAATGTACCTGTTTAAAAATAAAAAGAGTTGTATATTTCCTAAACGACACATCAGATCAAAAGATTTCCCTAAAAAGCTATATACAATAAAAACAGATGTGTACATGGAGGAGTAGAGATGGTAGAGAGAGCTGTAGAGGTTCAAGAGCTAGATGGAAGGTACCAGTTTCATTTATTAGGATGTGACCTTGTGTACTTTTTAAACCCTTTTATACTTGAATTTCCACAGCAAAGTTCAATTCATTTCCCAGGTTAAATAAAGTCATGGTTAGAAAGCATCTGCATGTATTTCCTGACACATAGGAGTATGCCTACATGGCTGCTATTATCACCTGGTACTAAGCCATCCTTCCAGGAAGACACTGATAGACAAGAATATACCACCCTTGCCTAAGGCACAGGGATTAGTTACTGTGTTAGGTGTTGCAGAACTGCCAAGCACTGTTCACATCACAGTGACACCTGCCAGCTACCCATGAGAATGGCTGTGCTTTGTCTACATTATATTTTTCAGCTCGGAATTCCATAAAGAAAATCTACTGCAAAGAAGGTGATTGTCACAGAGGTGGCATCAGATTTCAATCTCATTATCCTTCCTACTATATTTTTGTACTCTCCCAAGATGGAGTCTGACTCACCCTTAAACCAATGCTATTCTTCTGTTTTATATAGTAATCCTCAAGGAGCTGTGGCAGGATGTGGAATATGCTGGGAAAACAGTCTTCCAAAGCCCAGGGAACAGTGTGTCAGGCTCTGTCCTCAGTATCTACATATCCAGAGATGAGCACGGGCTGCAGGCAGGATGCTCTAGCTCAGTAGCTAAGCATAAAGTCAGAAATGTAGTGGTAGCTTGCTGATTAAAAATTGACAGGTAAGTGGTCCCCTTGAGGCTTAGAGTGAAAAAAACTACAGAGGGAAGAAATATTTATGTTTCTTAAAACTTGGTTTCTAGGGTAAGGGTTATTATAGAGAAAATCATCCAAGTGCCTAGCCCTTCTCTATGAATTTTGGTAGACATTTCCTTTGTTATATTGCTTCTTAATACCAAATAGCATCAGTTTAATTACCTACAATTCTCAATATTCCCCATATATGAGGCATTTATAGTCCATCATTAAGAAGTTCCTTTACTGTCTCTTGATGATAGTATCATTTTGGTGTTTTGTTTGTTAGCGTGTTCTCTGAAGTGGTCTCACTATCTAGACCAGGCTAGCCTAGAAATCAAGAATCACCAGTCCCAACCTCTTCAGGGTAGAGGTTAAAGGTGTGTACCACCACACCTGGCTATTTCAATGTTTTTGAGACAGGATCATGTTAATGTAGTCCTTGGCTATGTGCCATCTTTTAGTTATGGTAAATATTAAAATGTCTTTGTTCTACTATTAGCATTTTAAAAAGTTACTCTGGGCTGGAGTGTAGCTCAGTATGGAATGTATGTTTGGCATACATTAATTCCTAGAATGACACACACACATGCATGGGCATACACAATCATTCTACCAATACATTTTAATTTCCGGTGTCAAAATTGGGATAATCTTTTTGTAAACTGTGTGATTTGTCTCTGTCCTTCCTCACCCACCTAAGGCACCTTCTGCTTGGTTAATAAAAATCTCAATGGACAAGTTACACAGGTGAGACAGGCAGGATTTCCAGGGAGAGATAGGAACTCTCAAGGCGAGAGATTCACCAACCAGACACAGAGGCAGTCAGACATATGGTACTGAGGAGAGGTAATGAGCCACATGGCAGAATGTAGATTAATATAAACTAAAGTCAAGCTTTCATAATTAATAAAAAGTCTCCGTGTCATTATTCCAGAGCTCATGGTGTAAAGAAAGACTGGTTACAGTAAGTGTATTCTAAATCAAGCCACAACTATGGTGGAGAAGCCAAATATAAATTTAAAGGGCCCTGAATTTGAGGGAAAGGGCAAGTAACTTCTAGATTGGCATTATGTATTGCTTTTCTATTAGATAAGTGACTCTTGTCTACATTTCTACTCTTTATTCTTGACAACAGAGTGAAGGCTACTTATTTCCCACCCTCTATGACACAGCATCACAGGTATACTAAGGTCTAAGCTGCAATAGTGTCCTAAGAAGTTCTAAGAAGTTTCCAGGATTAAGAGAGATCAGAGTGCTTGAGTCACTCAGAAGTAGGTGAAGTGGGGCTGGGGAGATGGCCCAGTGGATAAAGTATATATTATGCAAGCATAAAAACCTAAGTTAGCCCTGCACCGCCTACATGAAAGAGCTGGGCGTGGTAGCACATTTGTGTAATCCCACTGGGGTGGTGGAGATGGGAGGGTTCCCTCAGGCTTGCTGACTGCAGATTTGTCTCAAAAACTAAGGTAGAAGGAAATGAACGGAAACAACAATACAATCTATGTTTATATAGGTGAACACACATATGCGCATATATGTGCATATACAGATAGACACAAATCACACACACAAAAATAAGTACAACACTTTAACACTGTGGGGAACATACCAACACAAAGCATGAACAGTCAATACGTATGTGGGTGGAGAACACGTGGGAAAGTTAACAGTACTGAAGGAAGAGCTACAGGATACCAAGCTAAACCATTTATGCTGTAAAAGTAGATGGCTTATTCCTATTGCGAAAAGAAAACACTTACATCTATCAAATCCATGTCCTTAAGACTCAGTCCAGCTTTCTTCAAAGCTCCATTGATAGCAGGGACTGGGCCTATGTAAGGATAACGGAGTTAGATGGAAGTATATGTTCCCTTGCTATTCACATGCCAGACTTCTTTAAGCCAGGCGTGTGGTGCATACCTGTAACCCCAACCCTCAGGAGGCTGGAGTGGATGGACCATGAGTTCCAGATCACCTTGTTTATACAGTTAGAACTTACCTCACACAACAAAACTCCTACTTCTATCATATACAAGGAGATGATCACATAAGACGGGACAAAGGTGAAAAGCTGACTGCAGTCAACTGTGGGTGAGAGACCCACAGGAGACAGTCCTGGCTTTAGGACTCTGAGCAGCCAGGGGCCACATGCAGGACTTATGGTCCATTATAGATTATACTGATCTCAAATGACCAGGCAGACCAAGTGTTCCAAGGTGGAAACCATACCCATTCATTCACTTCAAACCTTCAGCCCACATGGATGAAAGGCAGGAACACAGTGGCATCTCCATAAGGCAGATGTCTGCCAAGGGACAATTTCCTTTTCTACTTATCCTTTAAGGAAGAAAGTGTGTGAATGATTCATCAGAAAAATTCTGCTGTGAAGTTACATGGCTAAACATCCCATACAGATTTTACCCAGTTAAAAGGCTCTTTGGACCAGTTTGCTTGTCAAATGTGACCATTCAGTAACATGATTCAGTTTAAAATGCAGTTCTGAATAGCTACTGATTTACTAGAAGCTAACTCCAGATTCTTTAGAAAATGGATGACTGGTTTTATGGTTAATAGTGACTGTCAACTTGACAGGATCTAGAATCATCCAGGAAACACACCTCTGAGGGGTCAACTAGATAAGGTTAGCCTCTAGGCACACCTGTGAAAGGTTATTTAGATCAGGTTAACTGAGGTAGGAAGACACACCTTAATGGTTGGTGACACTATTTAACAGACTGGTGGACAGGTACCTTGGATTAAGAAAGAGGAAGTGAGCAAACCATTACCATTCATCTCTCTGTTTCCTGACTGCAGACATCATGTGACCAGCTGCCTAAAGTTCCCGCAGCCACTATGGACTTGAACTGATAGCCAAAAATAAAGGCTTCTTCCATAAGTTTTCATATGGTTAGGTATTCTGTTGTAGCTACAGGATAAGCAACTAATAATACAGATGTTGGTTGGGTCTGGTAAACCCGGCCATGTGCTTCCCAGGTCTTTGGAACTATGGTTTTGTTGTTTTTGTTTTTTTTGTTTTTTTTTTTTTTTTTTTTTTTTTTTTTTTGGTGGGGGTGGGGATGTGGAAAGATTTGGAAGTCTGGGCTGGGAAAGTACTGTAGACAGAGCTTGATGGGCCGACCTGGTGGGTTCTGTAAGACAAGGGTGCTGAAGCAGACAGTGGCTCAGGTGGTTTCAGAGGGGGAATGGGACTCAATAGAGAATGGGTAGGAACGGTAACTAACATAGGTATAATAAACAGGTACCCAGCATAGTTAGGGCATTGCCAGTCAGCTTTCTACTACTATACAGAAATACCGAGATCATTAGCTCATGATGGTAAAATGGATGGACACCTGATGGTGCTGAGACACTAGCCACTTCCCTGTCTGCAAGAACAGTCTTAGTCTGCTCAGGCTAACTCAGAGTCTGCTCATCCTCTAGGCCAGACCCCTCTGGGGAAAGTACTCTCCCCAGGCACTCATGTTTATTTACTGAGACCCAGGAAGGCTTACATCCTTACACAAAAAAGACCTTATTTCTAGTTCTTACCATTGAAAGATGTGGGACTCGAGACTCTTTGAGGGTTTTAGAGTTAATTAAATCATTCTCTGAGGGGCTGGAGTGATGGTTCAGTGGTTAAGCATTTATTGCTCCTGCAGAGGAGCCCTGTTCAGGTCCCAACACACATATGTTGGCTCACAACTGCTCATAACTCCAACTCCAGGGGATCTAACACCCTCTTCTGACCTCCACAGACGAGAGACATACATGCAGGCAAAATATCCATACACATAAAATAAAAATAACAAATAAATCTTTTAAGAACATCTTTGAATGGGGTAACTTTTGTCTTCTTAAATTTTTTAAATTATATGTATATGTGAGTGTCTGAGTGTGTGTTTATGCACACAAATGCAGCACTCAGAGGCCGGAGGCATGGGATCTTCACAGAGCTGGACTGACAGACAGCTATGAGTCCCTGATGTGGATGTGGAAACTGATCTTGGGTACTGTAAGACCAGTACATGCCCTTAACCACTGACCCATCTCTCCATCCTCTGACCTTTGTCTTCTTTTTTAGTTTACATATATGGTTGTTTTGCCTGCATGTATGTCTGTGCATCATGTGTGTGCCTGATGCCAAGAGGCCAGAAGAGGGCACCAGATGCCCTGGAACTGGAGTTACAGATGATTGTGAGCTACCATGTGGGTGCTGGGAATTAAACCCAGCTCCTTTGGAAGAACAGTCAGTTGTCTTAAGCTCTGAGCCATCTCTCCAGCCCCCTGACCTTCTTAAACACTGAAACCATTTATAAAAATGACGTCAAATAAAGTTAAAGCTAAAGTTGCTCCATTCAGCTAAATGAGCTTCCACACTACACACACAGTCCACACCCCACCACTGCACCCCACACAGTCCACACCCCACCACTTACCCCACAGTCCACACCCCACCACTTACCCCACAGTCCACACCCCACCACTTACCCCACACACAGTCCACACCCCACCACTTACCCCACACAGTCCACACCCCACCACTGCACCCCACAGTCCACACCCCACCACTGTACCCCACACACAGTCCACACCCCACCACTTACCCCACACAGTCCACACCCCACCACTGCACCCCACACACAGTCCACACCCCACCACTTACCCCACACACAGTCCACACCCCACCACTGCACCCCACACACAGTCCACACCCCACCACTGCACCCCACACACAGTCCACACCCCACCACTGTACCCCACACACAGTCCACACCCCACCACTGCACCCCACACACAGTCCACACCCCACCACTGTACCCCACACAGTCCACACCCCACCACTGCACCCCCACACACAGTCCACACCCCACCACTTACCCCACACACAGTCTACACCCCACCACTGCACCCCACACACAGTCCACACCCCACCACTGTATCCCACACACAGTCCACACCCCACCACTGCACCCCACACACAGTCCACACCCCACCACTGCACCCCACACACAGTCCACACCCCACCACTGTACCCCACACAGTCCACACCCCACCACTGCACCCCACACACAGTCCACACCCCACCACTGCACCCCACACACAGTCCACACCCCACCACTGCACCCCACACACAGTCCACACCCCACCACTGCACCCCACAGTCCACACCCCACCACTGCACCCCACACACAGTCCACACCCCACCACTGTACCCCACACATGATCCACAGCAGTGTATTCATACAGTTTTGTGCTCCCTTGCGAAGCTACTAGTCCTGCCAAGTCCTGGGTCTTCCTTTTCCCTGGTGACAGCTATTCTGCAGAGATGTGAATGGCTACATGTTAGGAGCCTGCAGAACTGAGGAACTACTGTTTGCACAGACTGCCAAGCCAGCCCTACTAGAAACACTACCTGTTCTTGCTTATCACACCCAGCAGGTCATTGAGTTACCATGTTTAATCCCACCTGATGGGACAGACAAGCTTGCAAGTGACACAGGCACCAGACACTGAGGGGTCCTTGGCATGGAAAGTTCCACTCAAGCATCCAGGCCTAGCATTTGAAGCTTTACCTTTGCTCACCAGTTACTGCTAATCCACCAACCCCCATTAAATGAGTTCAACTGGAAAACAACTATAAAAGAACTACTGGTTGAAACCACAGAAATTTGATAGCTCATCAAAGTACTCAAGGGCTCAGAAATCAAAAGCAGAAACGCCCACCTCAGGTTATAGACCTATTGAAACAAAACCCCCCAGAGGACCAATTGGGGTAGGAACCAGTTCGGATGGTGTGATAAGATGAAAGCCATTTCACTCTAGAGATTTCATTTCTCAGGGTTTCCTTCTATTTCCAAAGTAGAAACTTTTTTTTTTTTTTAAATCATTGTAGCTTTTAAGTCCATAACATAAAAAAAAAAAAATCCTGACTTTAGTAGTGTCAAATTTTCTGCAGTTGCTGACATTTTTATGGAAGGTGAAAAGGTATGAGCATGCCAGGCTCGTTTCCTAGTAATTCTTCATGGAGGGAAGCCTTGTCTGAAGGCTTAGGCTGCCAGGATAGCTGGGAGCTGACTCAATCCCAGGCAGCAGTCACAGTGTCACCTACGGGGACCTGCAGCTCTGACATGGCAACAACATTACCATCCTCCTGTCTTCACAGCCATCTTAAAAACCAAACTAAGCAGTCAAAAGGCCCAATCTCACAGAAAACTCTGGTCTGCTAAGAATCTGAAGTCTACACTGTACAGAAGCCTTTTCCTTAGGAGAGGATGGAGGGTGGGATGCAGAGCACCAGTCTCTGCAGTGAGCACCTAATTGGCCTCTTGTTTCCTTAAAGGTGCCGGATAAGAAAGACTAAACCTCTCCTCACTGGGGCCAGTGAGATGGCTCGGTGGATGACAGTGCTTGCCACCAAGGCTGATGGCTTGTGTTAGATCTCCAGAAAACATAAAAGCGGAATACATAAAGAGAGACGACTTTTGAAAGTTGTCCTCTGACCTTGACATACAGGCAATGATTTGTGTGTATACATGTGCCTGTGTACACACATACACAGAATGAACTAATTTTAAAAATTTGCCTCTGTGTCTAGTGTACTTAGTAAAAAGCAGTTTTTGTTTTTCTCTTCTCTTCTTTCCTTTCTCTCCCTTTTTTTCTTTTCTTTTTTTCTTTTTTTTTTTTGAGATGGGTCTTGCTATATAACACTGGCCAGACTGGAACTTGCAATCCTCCTGCCTCTGCTTCCTGAGTGCTCATATATCCTCTGTCCCATTTCTAATTAATAAAATTAGACTGGGCCTGAAAAATATCAACAATTTCACATCTCCTCTCCCCCATTAGTGCCTGTCACCTGACACCTGCCTAAATAGTTCGATTTGCTGAGAAGCCTGGGCAGAGCCAGGGGACATTGCCAGCCTAATGGTGACTTCCAGAAAGAGAAGTGTGCTTTTTTCTGGTGTGGAACTACACTCATTGTAAGTTGTAAGAGAAGACTGAGTGAGACCCACTAGTGACTGTGGAGCTGTGGTACTGGCTCCCTGAGCAGGCTTCTCTACATCGTGATGTAACTGAGTAATTCTGTTTCCTTCCTTTCCCATGGTGCTGGGGACCAAACCCAAAGTCTTACACCTGCTATGAAAGGGCTCTGCCACTAAGCTACAACTCCAGGCCCCTCTATTATTTTCTATGTTGATTTTTAAAATGTATTCCTATAATTTTAAGTTAAGTGTACTCTCTCTTTCTGTATTTGTGTGTGTGTGTGTGTGTGTGTGTGTGTGTGTGTGTGTGTCTGTGCACGCGCATGTGTGTAGAACGCCCATGGAGGCCAGGACAATCAGATACCTCTGGAGCTGGAATTTCAGGCAGCTGTGAGCCACCTGATGTGGATGCTGTAAACTGAATTTGGATCTGCAAAAGCAGTATGCATTTCATGGCACTCCCTCTAGCTTCTCTGTGGGATGACTTTTAAATACCCCGGACAGACAGCATGCCAGGAATGCTGCCCACAGAGGGATTGCATGGTCTTGGTTGCCCTGCTATATGTAGGACAGTTTCCACAGTTTCCATAAAGATGACCTAAGTGATTTCACCAGGAATCTTGATTTGGTTGCCTTTCCAAGATTCTGAAAGCCCAAACAAACCTAACTCTGGTAAGAGAAAAGAACAGTTTTCATGATAAACTCACCAATACCCATGATACTGGGATCGCATCCAGACACAAAGTAGCTCACAACTCTGGCCAGTGGTGTGAAATTATGTTTTTTGACAGCATCTTCACTAGCTATGATTACAGCTCCAGCACCATCAGAGACCCCCTTAAAAACAAAAGCAACAGGTTAAAAACAAAACCAGTAAAAGAAGTGACTTAATGCTCCAGCTAATGGTGTTATAGACCACAGAGTAGAATTAGGGCTAGGAAGCACTGACAATGTGTGGGATGCCAGTGGGAAGTACTTAGGACCCTGTGGGACTTCAGAGAGCCTTTAAGGGAGGAGTAAAACTTGACCAAAGGGCAACAGGAAGGAATGCAAAAAAAAAAAAATATCTTAACATCAGATATGTGTAGATATAAAAAGAAATCTGATAAATTATTATGTGAAAGAGAAAAGGTATGAGGTACCATCATAAACCAGGTGGATCTCCTTTTAACATACTAAAAAGACGAAGAAATCAGATTATATATGTCCCTGGCTTCAGGTTTTGTGTTAGACCATGAAAACTCAAATTAACAAAATATGAACATACCAGTCTAAGTTAAACAACTAAGGGTTAGAAAGTTTCTAGACATATCTAGAAGAGACACTTGAGAATCACTTGGCAAGAACATAAGTCAATGCTGTGACACACCGAGGCATTCCCTGCAGTGACAGTGCCTTCTTTCTTGAACACTGGAGGGAGCTTTTGCAATTGTTCCAGGGTTGTTTGTGGCCGAGCATGCTCATCCACTTGCATCATCTGCTTTCCTTTCCTTGTCTTCACCTCAATGGGTACCATTTCCTCATTAAAGTAGCCAGCATCGTTAGCTGAAAGAGCAAAAGACTATCATCAGAGTGAAAACTCCAAAAGGAGGAGAAGCCAGGGGAACCACATCTGTCAACTTAACGCCTGCTCCACTTGCTCAATGGGATTTAATATACCCTCAGGAGTATACACAGTAAGTCTGCACCTTTTTGAAATTATCGTTCAGGGTGTGTAGTGTAGGGGTGTGCATGGTGTGTGTGTGTGTGTGTGTGTGTGTGTGTGTGTGTGTGTGTAGGTCAAGGAACAGCCTTGGGTGCTGGACCACACCTCCCACAATGCTGGAGGAACAGTCTCTTTGTGTTACTGTTGTTGCTCCTTGGTGTACACCAGACCAGCTAGTACATGAGCTTTTGGGGATTCTCCTCTCTCTGCCTTCCATTTTTCACTGGGAACATGAGGACCACAGATGGTGTTACCATGCCCAACTTATGTGGGTTCTTGGGATTTGAACTCAGGTCCTCATGCTTGCAAGTACTTTACAGACATATCCTGAGCTCCTACTCTTTTTTTTTTTTTAATTAAATGTTTTTTCTATTATGAGATGCTAAACTGATAGCTGTGTTAGATACAGACCCAATAGTACTAAGTACATCTAACTTGGGCTGGAGAGATGGCTCAGTGGTTAACATCACCGCCTGCTCTTACAGAGGTCCTAAGTTCAATTTCCAGCAACATTTATAGTAAGATTTGATGCCTTCTTCTGGCATGCAGGTATAAATGCAGAACACTCATACTTATTCACAAATAATATAAAAATTTTTAAAAAAATACATCCAACATTTTGGGTGAAAAAAAGTAAACTTTACCAAGTTGCCTATGCCACCAAGAAACTGATGGCTGAGACAATGATAACCTGAAGAGATTGTAACAGCTGTAACTGATGCTATTATATGTAAAACAATGTATTATTTTGAATCTCCATGGATTAGAATGGACTGGAGTCATCTATCACTTCAGCAATAGAGTTGGTCAGGAAAAAAAACCCATTTTAATGTGTGTGTGTGTGTGTGTGTGTGTGTGTGTGTGTGTGTGTGATATATCCCTGTGTACACAACACATGTTTGCACAGAGACCTGAGGTATCCTGGTACCCTGCTCTCACTCTCTGCCTTGTTCCCTTTAGAGAGAGTGTCCCTGAACATGAAGCCCACTGTTTTTGCTAGCCTGGCCAGCCAGTTAGCTCCTAGCATCCATGTCTCTGCTTCCGATGCTGGAGTATGGCCGTGTTCAGCTTTATGTGAGAGCTGAGTTTTCAAATTCAGGTTATCATGCTTGTGTATCAACACTCCCACCCATGGAGTCTCTTGACAGCCCTTCATCTGAACTCTGATATCATATTTCAGTTGGAAAACACAAACAAACAAAACTCCTCCCCTTATCTGCCTGAGAAACAGGAAGGTTAGATTTATCATCTCTATTTTATAGGTGGATTGCCTGGAAATTGCTATAAAAATCAGGTTAGCCTGGAACTCACAGAGAACTGGAATTTAAGGTGCATACCTCCATGCCTGGCTACTTTATTCTTGATATCATTTTATAGTTGGTAAACAAAATGAAACAAACAAAAACCCCAAAACAAAACCATGCCCCCACTGCTATAGTAAGTAGTTCCTTCTGGTGGAAACAACCACATACCTCAGTGTGTTCTGTGGAAAACCAGACCAGTTCAGGACAAAATCCCCATTTTCAGATTAGGCCAAGTGACATCCCACTTTCCCTCTTATTAGCTTTAGTTATTAATTTATTACTTATCTGAGTATATGTGTGCCTGGGTGAGATTATATGTATCAGAGGTACCCATGGAGGCCAAAGGGCATCAGGTCCATAGAAACCTGAGTTGTGTGCAGTTGTGAGCCAAGTAACGTGAGTGCTGGGAGCTGACTCTGGGTCTTCTACAAGTGCAGTGAACATATCTTAATAACCAAGCTATCTCTTCAGCACCCCCAGATACCACTTAAAAAAGGCTTTAAAAATTTACTTTATGTGAATGTGTTCTGCCTGTATGGATGGATGTGTGCCCCATGTATGGAGTGCCCACAGAGGCCAGGAGAAGATACTGGATCCTCTGGAACTGTAGCTACATTCAATTGTGAGCTGCTATGTGGGTGCTGGGAACCGAACACGAGTTCTCTGCAAGAGCAGCTAGTGCTCTTAACTACTAACCCATCTCTTCAGCCCTCAATACTGCTTTTAAAAGTAGCATTACCTTATTATACAAGAGAAATTCCATGTGAAACTTTCAATTACCTGATCATCCAAAACCAAAAGAAACAACAAAAATATGTGATTTCCAAAGGTACGAGTTTTAAAAATACATCACTGTACGGTCACTACAACCTTCAGGATAAAACCTCCCCTACACTCTCATCTCTATACCAACCGGCTTTCCACCTCTGCTGGGACTGCAGTGCATATCTGTCACAGTCTTCTCTGCTTATGTTGTGTTTTGCAGCAAGGTTCTCTGCAGTCATTCCCATGGCGAGCTTAACATGCTGATCCGTTAATCCTGCCCACAAAGTATCTTCCAGCTATAAAGACAGTGAGGCAGTGCTGTGTTAACTGCCATCTTTGGAAGGAACATGGCAGATATCTATGTCTATATCTACATATAGATATAGACACACACACACATATATAAATTGCATTTATTATTCCTATTCACATTTGAAACATTAAGAAAGTCTAGTATTTAAAAAAGAATATCCAATGTCTTCCAAATGTTCATTTTATGCCACTCTATATATACAACTCTAAATGTACAACAGGAGTTTACCCCACAATCCCAAGTGTATCCTTTGGTGAGAAACCCAACACTTGGCTTATATAGGGTTTTTCTGCAGCCCCTTTAAGTAAGCTGTCACATGTTCTGGAGGGAAGAGCACATGTGTGTAGCTTTTCCATCCCAGGCCTTTGGTGACAGATGCAGCTGGCTCTGTTTGTTATTACTAGACTAAGAAGAACCAGGCATGGAGTTGCTGAGGAACAGAAAAGATCTCATCAGAGAGATCTGAGAAGGACATTCCACTTGCTGCCCACAATCCCTGTGTTCAGCTGTCTCTGCAGAGATTTTATGTACATCCTGTGTCTGAAATGCTCATGTTTTTTAAGTCTCATTCCTTAGGTCCCAAAAGGCCATTTCTTATTTATTTATATTATTTAGTGTGTGTATATGTGTGTGTGTTGTGTATGCGTGAATGTGAGGGTGTGTGTGCACGTACAGAGAGGCCTTCAGGTGGCTTCTTTACTGCTCATTATTTTATGCCTTTAAGACAGGTTCTCCCACTGAAGTGCAGGCCCTCTCTTTTAGAGACACTGGCTTGCCAGAGTATTCCTGGGATCTGCCTTTCTCTGTGATGGAAAAATTAATAACTAAAAGGCATAAAATTAGGGCTTATGGCAAGAAGGGAAAACTAGAGAGGACAAGAATTTCTTCCAGAAGATAACTCCCTGACTGCAGAGTACAGAGCCCACTGCTCTCAGGAGATAAAGAAGAAAGCAGAGCCCACCACCAGCATCCTCCTTGCCCCTTTATCTTGAGAACAAGGCCACTGAGCCTGCCAACCTTGTGAAGAAATGTATTCGGTAAAATCTCTGTAACCTTGGAAACCTTGTGAGTTGAGACTTGCGGTCTCAAGCCTCCCTTTCCCCTTCCCCCTAATGCTTTGCAATTCTAAGCAGGAACCTTACTCTTTGGATAGAGTGAGGTCCTAGCTTGTTTGGTTCTTAGCAATAAAAAATCTTTGGTTTTTGCAGTCAGGAGTCACTTCCTTGGAGGTTGAGAGGATTCCTGGTAGGCACAACATCTCCATTTCCCGATACCAGGGTTAAAGATACTTGCAGCCATGTCCAGCTTTTTACGTGGGTGCTGGGGACTTGCCCTCAGGTCCTCATGCTTGCAAAGCAGGCACCCTTATCACTAAGCTGTCTCACCAGCCCCTGGAAAGTGCTAAGAGATAGAGAATGCTACCTTAAGAGCAGGGCAATGAACTATCATTCTTTATCCCAGATGCTATTATGGGATAGCTGTCAGAGGTGAAGGATCAGGTTTTTCCTAGACAGTCTGGATCAATAGATGTATTCAGACACAGCACTTTTTGTGATGAAGACACCTATTCAATGGACATTGCTCCACAACTCCCATAACCATGACAACAATCTAGTTCCCCAGATTACTTATTAATCTACTTCTCTCTTCCCTGCCCCACCTTTCCCTACGATTTCTTCCATATGAGAATTATAACCCCATGTAGATTCGAACAAGTTTTGAAGTAGCCTGTAAAATTTAAATCATACAAATCTTGGCAGTATTCCATGAACAAAATTGGGTTCAAAATTAGTTTTTTTTTTCTCCCTTAAGAAGGCTATTAACATTACTTATATAACTAGTAGAAGAAGTCATTAAAAACATTTAATGCAAACCTTGAGATCTAATCCAAATTTGGTTCCAAATCGCACATTTCTGACACAGTAGGGGGCCTGGCTCATGCTCTCTGTTCCTCCACACAGGACAACTTCGGCATCTTTGACACAGATTTCCTGTTTTAAAAAAAAACCACCAACAACAAAAGTCCTTCTATGCTATCCAGAGTACAAACTGAGAAATAAAGAATTCTATAAATTAGTGGTGATTCAAACAAATATTGTGTCTTCCTTTGCAGTGACCTGAAAAGAAATGTTTCAAGTCGGTGAAAAGCTATTCCCCACATCTAGGGGGAAGTGAACAGACCTCAATAGTATGTGCCAGAGTAATATACCCTAGACTAGTCTGTTTTTAGAGACAGAGTCTCATTCTGTAGCTCACCCTGGCCTGGGAGGGGTGGCAAGCCTTCGACTCAGCCTCCTAAACTCTGAGATTATAAAGATGCAAGACACACCCTGTTCTAAGAACAGTAATTCTTATTTCATTATTAATCTGGGAAACCCACAGGGATACTTATCTCCAGCTTAGATATATAACAGATAATAAAGGACACATCTATTTAAAAGTCATACAAATTGAAAAGAAAAAAAGGTCTTATTAATGGAACTGGTAAAGTAGAGGGTTCATAAAGGGGTCCATTTCATTCTTCCAGTTTCCATCTCTCTGAAAAGATGTAAGCAACATGCCTCTAAGAGGATGGCATTGTGCTTAAAGTTAACGCTGGAGGAGTAGGGACCAGGATTTAAAGTGTGTTGTCATAGAGACCAATGTGAAGATAACTTACCCATCAAACTATGACTATGTCAGTTACCTGGAGCAGTGAGAAATCAAAAGCTACAATGCCCTATTGAGGGGGAGCAGTTATTCAAGTAACTGTCACTGTGTTTATAGAGGAAGAAAGGGCAGCCCATACCTGACATCCACTCAGGATGGATTGGAAACCAGAGCCACAGAGCCTATTGAGGGTGAGGGCTCCAATCTCTTTTGGGACTCCCACTCGCAAGCCCACATGCCTTGCCAGGTACGCCGCATCTGAAGAACTCTGAACAAGAAAAATAAGTCACTTTATAGGAAAGGCAGTAACAATAATAAAAGAAAAAAAGATATGAAATGCTGGTCATCTATAAACTATGGATCCAGGGAGAAAAAATATATGCAGAGACTATATACATGATTTTAATAAATACTATAACTCAGTCAATAGTGTTTTCTATTGTTTTATTGTGGTAAAATGCATTATCTTGTTCATTCTTAAGCATACAGTTCACAGCCATCAGAAACATCTGTAATGTAATATTCTGCAACCATTCATTATTAATTTGTTTTTTTAGACAACTGAATTTTAAACGTACTAAGTTTTTCTTCTACTTAGGAAATTCACATATTAAGTCCTCCAATGTAAGATGGAAATTCATAACAATTTCTAACAATTATAAACCACAGAGGTTATATCAGAGAATATGCTTTTCAACCTTAGCTATATGCTAGTAAGATTCAGAACCTTTGCTAGCATTACTGTATTTAAGCTCCTGATTGGAAAGGCTGGATGAGGTGATAATTTGTTTGTACTTTAACAAATAAAGCTTGCCTGGAGATCAGAGTGCAGAGCTAGCCACTAGTTAACCCGAAGCCAGGTAGTTGTGACACACACCTTTTATCCCAGCACTTGGGACGTCATGCCTTTGATCCCAGTACTTAGGAGGCTCATGTCTTTAATCCCAGCAATAGAGAGGTAGAGAGAGGAGCTCACCCTTTTTCAGTCTGAGGATCTTGTGGTGCTAATAACTCTAGGGTCTTGCTGTTCTGCTTCTCTGATCTGTCAGCTTTCCCCCCTAATATCTGACTCTGGGTTTTTATTAGTAAAACCAATTAGAACTCAAGCTACAGCTGGAGGGTGGCCCAGCAGTTACTATTCAATGCATCTAAATAACTCTACTGTGAAATCAGTTGAGAAGTGCAATTTAGGGTAGAGATAGATGAATAAGATGAGTATTTGATTGCTTTTTATTATAGGAAAAGATTAAATAAATGTAAAAACCATAAAGAACTGGTCCATAAGAGTAGAGTTTTTAGGATGTTCACTATACTGTTCTTCAATTTTTTAATTTTCAAATTAAATTCAACAAATATTGCACACTTAAGCATTGTTGTTAACAAAATCTCAATTGTTTGGTTTTTTGTTTGTTTGTTTGTTTTTTAAATAAAGTCTGTGGAGCCAGATGCTGGGGTCAAAGCCTGCTTGCTCAGAGAGGCAGAGAAAGCACCCAGTTGACCTTCCTTCTCTACCATCACCCCAGAACCCCCCCAAAATGAATGTCTTTCCCTTCTACTTCCGGTGAATTGCTCTATCCATTCCCTTGACTCTATTTCTATGGTTTTTCCTTAAAAAATCCTATATTAACTTCCTGTCAACTGGTGTTTCCTCTGCCTCTTGACCCATGGTGTTTACAGTACTCAAGCAGACAGGTCTTAGATTAAAAGTGTGTGCTGGTGCTGAGTCACACCACAACTAGAAACAAGTTTTCCCAGTAAATAACACAAGCTAGAGGTTCACAGTGACAGTGTGATCAAATCTCCTGCAACACTCATGTGTTAGTGGTTTAGAATGTAGGGTGGAAGGGGAAGGAAATCATAATATAGCATCAGCCAATATGCTGACTATTTCATCATTTAGGGGAAATGAACTTACTTTACAAATCAATGCCACTGAATGTAGTTTAACCAACTGATATTCTTTCCCCTGGGTCTGTTTGTAGTTATTTCTCTTAAAATATTTTATTGTGTGCATTTACCTATTGGTAAAATAGTTGATTTGAATATGTATATATGTGTGGTATATGTGCAGGTGTGTGCATGTATGTTTGCAAGTGTGTGTGTGTGTGTGTGTGTGTGTACATGTGTACTCACGTAGAGACCAGACTTGACCTTGGGTGTGTGTGTGTGTGTGTGTGTGTGTGTGTGTGTGTGTGTGTGTACATGTGTACTCACGTAGAGACCAGACTTGACCTTGGGTGTGTGTGTGTGTGTGTGTGTGTGTGTGTGTGTGTGTGTGTACATGTGTACTCACGTAGAGACCAGACTTGACCTTGGGTATGTATCTTCCACAATCAATGTTCACCTTGTCTACTGAGATGGTATTTTTTTTTTTTCTTAAATATAGAGCTTGCTGATATGTCTAGCCTAGGTAGCCAGTTTGCTCAGGGTATCCCATTTCTGCCTCACCTACCACTTCCATAGGTACTGGGGATCAAAACTCTGGCAGGCACTTTACCCACCGAGCAATCTCCCCAGCTCCTAAAATAGGATTTTAAAAAACTTATTAATTTATTTTTATATTCCAATTCCAGTTCTCCTTCCCTCCTCTCCTCCTCCTACATGCCCCCTGCCCCCCCCCCTCACACTGCACCCTGTATCTGCTCCTTGGAGAGGATTTTTTTTTAAAGAAGAAAAATACATGCAGTAATTTGAGGTTGATAGAAAGAATACTGGGTAGGAGGTCAGGAGGCCTGGATTGGAGCATGGACTCTAAGATTTCCAGGCAGCACTGGGCTCTGATGCCGCCACCCCTGTGTTCTTCATGTGGGAAGAGTCATCTGCAAGTGCATGCATTTTGCATGCCTTTTGTGAGGTGGGGGCAGTCATTTTGATTGAACAGTTAGGTCAACTGAACAAAGACTAATTCTTTATAAATGTGCTAATACAGTCCTGCCTCTGTGTGTTCTAGTGTAGCCCTCCTGCATGATGCACAGACACCAGACATCAACTTAGGCTGCTGTTTTTGACAATCACTTTCCTTTTTGTTAGATTTTCTCCAAGAGCCCTTACAGAATGGCTTTGACGTCAGTTTGAATACTGAGACACTAGGACTGTTGGAAAAGCTTGGTGTAAGAGGGCGAACACAGAAGTAGATGTTTGGAAGTTGGTATTCAACGCATGATTGTGCTAGGCTGCCTTGTCAAATTGAGTGATAGAGCAATAAAAGAGAGACGTGGGCCTGGTGGTATAAGCCTATAATCTAACTCAGGAGGCTGAGGTAGAGGGAGTGCAAGTTCAAGACCAGGCTGAGCTACACAGTAAGTGTGTAATTAGTGAGATCTTGTGAAAAAATGTCTCAGTAGTAGAGCACTCACTTAGCACATGTGAGTCCGGAGTTTCTACCCTAGTGCCAGGGAGGGAAAATGCTGACTTTAGGAACAGAAGCTCAAACACAATGATAGTATTTATCAATTAACTGATACTATTTATCACTGACACTATTAATGAACTGATATTATTTATCAGTGAAGCTGACACTACTTATTGTAACTTCCTAGGAACACGAGAGATTCCACCAACACTGGGGAACAACAGTTGGATTTTAGAAGGAAAATATCTTCCTGAAGTAAATTCTAGAAAAACCTCAAACCAAATGTAGTTTATTTCAACTTTATTTCTATCCTAATATTCTCTTTGATCAGTAGCAACAACCCCCTGCCAAAAAAAGAAGGAAGGGGAACTAATATTAAGGATTAATTATTAAAATAGATTAGTCTCAATAGGCAAAATTGAAATATAAAATGGCATTGACTTTTCTGCCTCTGAAGATGTACAATGATGGATGGACAGAGAAGAGTTTAAATCCAAGGCCTTGCACCTCTGTCTCCACCATTGTTCTGATTTGGTAGAGCTCACATCATTGGCATCTGATATGGTTTGCACATTAAATGCCTCTGTGTGCACACAAAGCTTGTATGCCAAAGCTTATTGTGGGTGGACAGGGGGGAGTGGAAACTTTGGTAGGTAGGGTCTGGCTGGAGGAAGTGGGTTACTTTTCCACTTCCTCTTCCTCTTTTTACTTCCTGGCTTCCATGAGATGACCAACTTTCCTTTACCACTTCCTTCAGCCATAGTCTTGAAAGCAGAAAGCAATGGAGTCAGCTCAGTATGGGCCATGGCCTTTGAAAGTATGATCCAAAAGACATCCTTCCAGTCAGCCGTAATGGTGCATACTTCTAATCCAAGCAGAGGAGGTGGATCTCTGTGAGCCTGAGGACAGGCTGTTCTACACAGTGAGTTCCAGGACAACCAGGGCTATATTAAAGAGATCCTGTCTCAAAAAAACAAAAAGAAAGAAAAATCCTTCCACTTTAAGTTGATCAGGTATTTGTCACAACGGCTAGAGCATCTTAGAAATATACAGCCAGGCCCCTGCCACTCTCTCTTCCTGCTGCCTGCTGATCCAGATGTAGAACTCTTAGATAACTCTCCAGCACTATGTCTGCCTGCATGCTACAATGCTTTCCGTCATAACAACAATGGACTAGTCCCTCTGAAATGTAACTTGGCCCCAATTAAATGTTTTTCTTTATAAGAGTTGCCATGGTTATGGTGTCTCTTCACAGCAACAGAACCCTAACTAGGACACTAGGCAACCAGTAAATGGCTGTATACTTTAAAGGTGCACATAACTTTCAGTCATCTTCATATGGATGATCTACTTTGTAGATGATGCATGCCAAGATAGAGGGTAAGGAGGCTGCTCATTTCCACAAGAAATCCTGACCATTTCCTAGAAGGTGTAAGAGATTATGCCAGGTGCATTACATTGCTTGGACCTACTCATTCATGCTGTAAATAGGATCTAGAATATCCCCCAAGAGGTGTCTGTGAAAGGCCCAGCAGATGGCACTCATGGGTGGTGGCTCCTTTAGGAGGGAGGGCCAGTGAGAGGGAATCAGTCATTGGGGGAATGCCCTCCTAGAGCAGATTAGAGCCCTGACCCTCTATCCCTCTCTCTTTGCTTCTCCAGCACACACTCCTCTCTTGAGTTTTGTGGCCCTGGCTGAAAACTAGAGAGGCAAATGACTATGAACAGAAACCTCTGAAAACATGAATCAAAGCAGTCCTTTTCTCCTCCAAGTTGACATCCCAGGCATTTTTGACTTAGTGATGGGAAAATGACAGGTGTATTTCCTTTAGCAGTACATGGAGAAAGTGAACTTACTTCTCCTAAACCTAGTGACTGCTTTCAAAGAAATACTGAGCCAGGGCTGGAGAGAGGCTCAGCTATTAGGATTGGTCTCTCAGATCCCGGCCTGTTTCCAGACATGCAGGGTATCTCACAACTGTCATTAACTCTAGTTCCAAGGGATCTGATGCCCTCTCCCGATCCCCATGGCCACAAGATACACATGTAGTGTACATATACACAAATAGGGAAGCATACATACATAAAGGACAAAAAGCAGCATTGAAATGTGTTCCAACTCAGATGGGACATGTGGTGTGTTATATCTGCTATTGCTCTTACAGTCAGAGGGTGAGCAAGGTTACAAATGTCAAACACTGATAACTATTATTGTGTCATCATGCTGACACAGTAAAGGAATTATTCCCAGAAAATGACCAAAGATAGAAACAGACATGAATATCTACCCATCCCCACTAACCTGCATGACATTGCCCACGATGACACTGTCAATGGTTTCTGGTGGGACTTTGCCAGCAGCCAGGGCAGCCTTGGCAGCAAATTCAGTCAAGTCAGTAGCAGAGAAGTCCTTGAGAAGACCTCCATAAGCTCCAAAGGGTGTTCGCTTAGCAGCCACAATAAACACACCTAACGCATAGAGGAGAGATGTACAAGCAGTCACAGGTTAGTCAGCATCCCTAACATGTTCAAGTTACCTTTCCATGAAATTTCATGGTAAAGGACAATTAGGTAACTGAAGATCTTTGTCATCCAATAATTCAGAGAACCAACCACACAAACAGAAACAGAGTATCCAGTGCAGGGTCCAAGAACTACATTGTAAATAAATTCCCCTTAGACATTCTTACTCTGTTTACAACATTGTAAACATTTGAAAACTGAAATGCCTTTTCTCTGTGCTGAACCAAAGAATCTCCAATTTAGAGGGCACACTAGGTGGCCAAAAGTTGTGGGAGGTTAACTACCTACTTCCTAAGAACTCCATCTAGAATATTCCTGTCAAGAGGCTCTTTCTAACTTTCAATAAGAAAGTATACTCCCCCATGTAAAGCAGCATGCCCACAGACACACAGTAACAGTTTATGACTGTTCTCCATCTAAGCTGATTTGGATAAACCAAACCCACTTCTATCCATGTCTCTCCCTAAGAGAGACAGATAACACGATTTCTAGAACATATGGAGCACTGAATGACTTACATGTGCTACTGCTTCTGGAGTCACAGGATGACTTGAATGACAAATTTCCAAAGCCCTGAACTAACTCTCTCTCTCTCTCTGTGTGTGTGTGTGTGTGTGTGTTTTGCTATTGTTATCTTTTACTGAGTTACTGAGCAATAAAATGGGCAGATTTGGCTACCATTTACACACAAAATTCACCTGCAGTTGACTAATCTAAGGAACTCTCCAGACTTAGTGATTCTTTTCCCAGGTAAACAGAACGCATCCTTGCTGGGGCTGGGTTTACAGCTCAGTGGTAGAGTACTTGCCTAGCATGTGTGAGGCCCTGTGTTCAATCCTCAGTACAATAAATAAGTATGTGTTCTTATGCACTTAAATAATCATTCCTTTCCACCATTGCCAAAACCTTATGATTATACAATTCCAAAGCTACAGTGAGTGGCAAGCACTAGGGTTGTACAGTGAGATGATGGTGCTTGCTTCCAAGGCTGACTATACAAGTTTATTTCTGGCACCCATATGGTAAGATATACCCACAGGTACAACAGTGACAAGCATTTTGTAGGGTGACTAACTGCTTTCTGGTTGAATTTAAGGCCTTCTCCTTAGGAGGAAACTCAAGCATGGTACTATAAATTTGGACAAGAACCAATGGTTGGAGAGCTCACAGTCTCCAGGAGTGGGCCTACTGTTTGCTAAATGGACATAGCATAAGCTGCCTTCTAAATTCCTGTCTCTATACATCAACAAGTTAGTGCAGCATTCAGATCTTCAGAGGAGTTTCCTTGTGTGGTAGATGGCATTTAATGCAGAAAGGTGAAGTATCACTGGCACACTCAGCCACAAAAGTCCCTACTGTCCTTCCCCCAGGCTCAGGGACCATTGTGGAAGAGGAGGAGGCTGAAAGGCTCTAAGAACCAGGGGTCCGGGAGGATCAGAGACAATGTCTTCTGGACATGATAGGACCACTGTCCTGGTGAACTCACAGCAGTTGAGACTGCCTTCCACAGGAAGGAACCAGGCAATCAGCATGATGGAGGAGCTCAGGAGATCCCTCCTCTGAGAACCTTCTGACAGCTGCTGGCTTCTAAGGTAGGAGGAACCAGTTCTCTTTAAGGGTGTGTATTACTTTTCTGGTTCTGTGATAAAAACACCATGACCAAGGAGTTTATTTTGGTTTAAGGTTCTAGAAAGACAAAAGCCCACCATGGTGGAGACTCATGGCAGGAAGTAGCAGGCATGGCAGGAAGCAGAGAGAGTGAACTACACCAGGGACAAGGCTATAAACTGGTGGTTGTCAATCTGGATCGTGGCCCTTTGGGGAGTTGGTTGTACATCAGAGATCCTGCATATCAGACATTTAATGATTTATAACAGTAGCAAAATTACAGTTATGAAGTAGCAATTAAATAATGTTATGGGCAGGGGTCACCACAGCATGAGGAATTGTATTAAAGGGTGCCAGCATTAGGAAGGTTGAGAAACACTACTGTGAACTCTCAGTGCCTGCTTCTGAGTCATGCACTTCCTCCAGCAAGGCTACACCTCCCACAATCTCCCAGACTGGAGACCAAGTGTTCAAATCTGTGAAACTATGGGGGACACACAGTTCTCATCCAGGCCATCAAAGTGCAGCTATTAGTAGATTGATCACACTTCAGTACATGGCCCCATACCCATGAGTAATTTATTGGCAGCACAGTTCAGACTCTGAAGTTATTCAAACAGTAGGGGGAAAAAAAAAAAAAAGACATGAAGTTAGGAGGGGATAGGAAGTGGGGTGTGAATCTGGGAGGAGCTTGAGGGAAGACTGGGGGTGAAAATTATCTAAACACAATTGTAAGAAAATCTTAAAGAAGTAATGAAAATAAATTTTGAAGAATGGGCAAAGGCTCTGACCAAACAGTTCATCAAAGAAAACACACAGATGGCAAACAAGCATATGCAAAGATGCTCAACAAGAAAGGTTATTCATGTAAATTAAAACTGTGTTACAACCACACAATGGTTCCCATGGCTAAAACCCAAATACTGACACCATCAAATACTAGAGAGGCTGTGTGGCAACAGAAAGCCATTTACTGTCCGTGGAAGACAAGATAATACACTTTGGAAGACAGTTTACCCATTTCATAAAAAAACATAGCTTAGGTCCACTCGGAGTTCCTGCAGGCAAGATCCTTGACCCCCAAATCCTGGCCTCTGCCAAAGAACCAGGTCTCAGCTGGAAAGCACCAGTTTCCAGTGAGATCCCACTACCCTGCAAAACCTTCTCAAGTTCCAGCTCAGCCCTCATCCTCTTCCGCCAGCTATTGGCCAGAGCTATTGGCCAGAGCTATTGGCCAGAGGACCACTGTGAGTACCTGCTGGCATCTTCTTCTGGATCCTCATCCTTGACCCCATCCCTGGATCCCTGTCTGCGGAGAAACCTCCTAGAGAGCTTGGACCACACAGAGCTACAGATATTGAATCTCAGACCCACATAAGCCCATCAGGGAAGTACCATAGAGAGAGGGAAGAGACACCACCAACACCTACTGGAAGAAACTATCTGAAGAAGGCAATACAAGAGAACACCTAACAACAGAAAGACAAACATGACACCACCAGAATCTAGGGAATCTACACCAACTAGAATGGAACACAACAACAAAGCAGAGGAAGCAGAAGGGTACAACTTAAAAATTACCATCACAAAAATGATAGAGGCCCTCAAAGAAGATGTGAGAAAATCCCTTAAAGAAATGGAGGAAAAAACAAACAAAAAAGTGGAAGAAATGAACAAATTCCTTAAGGAAAGTACAGAAAGCCAAGAAAAAACAATTAACCAGGTGAAGGAAACGGTTCAAGACTTGAAAACTGAAATTGAGAAAATAAAGACAACACAAACGGAAGGAATGCTGGAAATTGAAAAGCTGGGCAAAAAATCGACAACTACGGACACAAGCATAACCAATAGAATACAAGAGATGGAAGAGAGAATCTCAGGCGCAGAAGATAAACTAGAAGAAATAGATTCATCGACCAAGAAAACCATAAATCCAACAAATCCTTAACACAAAACATCCAGGAAATGTGGGACACCATGAAAAGGCCAAACCTAAGAATAATAGGCATAGACGAAGGTGAGGAAGCCCAGCTCAAAGGTGCCAAAAACATATTCAACAAAATCATCGAAGAAAACTTTCCAAATCTGAAGAAGGATGTGCCCATGAAAGTACAAGAAGCATACCGAACCCCAAATAGGCTGGACCAAAGAAAAAAGACCCCTCGACATATAATAATCAAAACACCTACCATACAGAATAAAGAAAGAATATTAAGAGCAGTGAAGGAAAAAGGACAGGTAACATATAAAGGCAGACCTATCAAAATTACACCTGACTTCTCCATGGAAACCCTCAAGGCCAGAAGATCCTGGATAGATGTTCTAAAAATATTAAGAGAACACGGATGCCAGCCTAGGCTACTATATCCAGCAAAACTCTCAATCAATATAGATGGAGAGAACAAGGCATTTAATGACAAAAACAGATTTTCCCAATATGTATCTACAAATCCAGCCCTACAGAAAGTATTGGAAGGAAAATTCCAACCCAAGGAAGGTAACTACGCCCACAAAAACGTAGGCAACAGATAATCCAACTACACCAGAAACCAAGGGTGAAGCAGAACAAATATATTCACAATACCACTGCCAACAACAAACCTATATCAAACAAGCATCAACAATCAATGGTCCTTACTCACCCTCAACATTAATGGTCTTAACTCACCTATAAAAAGACACAGGCTAACAGAATGGATACAAAGACAGAATCCATCCTTCTGCTGCATACAAGAAACACATCTTAGCTTCAAAGATAGACATTACCTCAGGGTAAAGGGTTGGGAAAAGATTTTCCAATCAAATGGAAATAAGAAGCAAGCAGGCGTAGCTATCCTAATATCTAACAAGTTAGACTTCAAACCAAAATTAGTCAAAAGTGATGAAGACGGTCATTTCATATTCATCTCAGGAGAAATCCATCAACACAAGTCTCAATTCTGAACATCTATGCCCCTAATATAAAGTCACCCACATTCGTAAAAGAAACACTACTAAAACTCAAAGCTCATATAAAACCTCACACACTTATAGTGGGAGACTTCAATACACCACTCTCAACACTAGACAGGACCACAAATCAGAAACTCAACAAAGAAACAAAAGAATTAACAGAAGTTATGTCTCAATTGGGGTTAACAGACATCTATAGAACATTCCATCCAAAGACAAAAGAATATACCTTCTTCTCTGCTCCACATGGAACCTTCTCTAAAATCGACCACATACTAGGAGACATAACAAACCTCAACAGATACAAGAGAATAGGAATAGTCCCCTGTATCTTATCGAACCACCATGCTTTAAAACTGGAATTCAGCAACAACACAAATAGCAGA